TTGGGGGAATTTTATTTGCCCATAGCTGGGACCGCCTAACTGGTGCTACCACCCCGGATCACCAACAGCAATTAAGAGATGGTTTCACTCTCCTCATAAATTTTAATCTCGATCAGAGGCCTTGCTACCGGATATAGTTTATCGTTGTACCCTGGACTACCGTAAAGAAGGTACTAAAATTTACATATAAGAAAGAAATGTGGAGAGAGTCATAACCGCTTATGTTCCGAAGGGATTTAAAGAAATCGATTCATTCGATTTTGTTCGTGTGCTTATCTGAAGATAAAATTCTACAGTACTGTTATGTTGATCTGTAATCTCTTTAGATGCAACTAACGAATCCTTTTGCATAAGTCTCTTAGAATAAATAGTTGATTTTATCAGTGTAATCACAAGCATGGCGCCACAAAACAAAAAGCTGTATCAGATGTTAAAGTTTAAAGACTGCTGATTCTATATTTTATCTGATTCTCTCAAAAAGGAATATTTTTAGATCGTTGATTCAACAGCAAACATATTTCTGTTTTGTATTTGTGCTTTTATCTTTTACGTATTTTTTGGAATGAGCACTAAAGAACATTTCCTCATATAAGATTTTATAAAGGTTTTACATGCTAATATTTTGAAAAAAAAAACAAAACAAAAAAAAACAAGGGAATATGATGTTTTATTATTTTGGAAATTCATGGCAGTAATCATTTTGACAAGTCATACAGCTTAGCACAATAGCATTGTCATAATTTGATGCCAAAGTAACAAATTTAGTCATATGTTTAGTTCTTAGTTCCAGGTAAAAATGTGCAGACTGAATCACATCATCCTCTGTGGAGGAATCACACGCTTAACTCGTGTTCTATGTTCACGCCAGTCTCAAAGGTAAGTATTCGTGCGTACAGTTTGCTATGATGTAAGGGAAAACAGATATCTCTGATTTTCTAAAATCTGAGTGTCAGTTATGCATTGAACTTGTAAAGCAACTGTTGATATGCAGTATAAATAAAGTGTCGTTTCATCCAGTTATTATTTGGATATGCGAACGAAAACTGATGAAGAGATTGCTAAAATATTTCATATTAAGTGAAAAGAAGGAAAAAAAAAAATTCCCGCAACTTTGTCGATATCCCATATTCATTTTTTGAGTTGATATTCTACTCACGACTCTTCATCAAAGAATAATAAATGACCGACTTTTTCTTGAGACTTTTAAAAAAAAAATGGCTCCTTCGTTGAGGTAATTTGATAATAGAAAATCATTTATATCAGAATATTTCTTTTAATTTTTTTTTCTATATTTCATTTTTTAATGTATGAGAAATTTAAGATACATAAACTTTCTCACACTTAGAAAAAACATATACTTCTTTTCAAATTATTTCTTTTCATTTTACTTTCTATTTCCCATTCAAGTATACGCTTCAAGGCTTTTTGGTTTCCTTGTCTTTACTTGAATGCTTGTTGTTAGCAGACTTTCTTGTCTAGATAAACAGCAAAAACATTTGCAAACATAAATGGGAAGAAATGCAAATAGACAGGTTCGAAGACAACGGTACAGGGGTGAATAAAATAACACACAACCCTGTAGAGGAATAAACCAGCTTCTATAAAGATTTATTTAAAAAAAAAAAAAAAAGGATTTTCAAATAAACAAGTAAAATACGATGAAATTGTTAAATGGTAGATAAAAATGGTTAAGGATGTCAAATTGATTCATGTATGAAAGAGGAATGTGATGTCTGTATATAAGAATTGTATTAATGACATTGTGTGTATATGTATATTTGGATGTTAATGTTAATTTACATATATATATATATATATATATATATATATATATATATATATATATATATATATATTCGAGGAAACAGATCGCTTTTTTATTAGTGTGAGGAAATATGTGAGAGGTAACTTTGAGAAGGATTTGAAAAAAATCCTTTTTTAACATCTTTCCCTCGGGTCGGTCTCATTTGAATAGAGAAGACACCAACACTTTGTATACGTATAGCTATGTGGAATGAATGAAAGTTTATTATAGATTTGTATAAGGAATTGTCAGAAAAACACGCTGTTACACACACACACACACACACATATATATATATATATATATATATATATATATATATATATATATATATGAAACCCGGTTAATATAAGAAAAATGATTTTTGTATTGAAAGGTTTCACATTTTTTTTTCTATATTCACAGTGTATTTCGAAAACATTATATTAGAATCCCGGCTACAACAGATCGTTGGATGCATTAAAAGAATGAATACCAAGATATCTAAAAATATCTTTGAATAGAAACTCATACTATCAGCATCTATCTCTTTCCAAGTTAAATTATGTCGTTATCAGCTTCACGCTCACTGTCAAATCTCATTCTAAAATTCTTTTATTCTTTCTATCAAAGTAACGAACTTGTTCGCTTATAGACTCTATTTCTCTCCAAGAAGTTGTGACGCACTTTTAATCTTTTAACTACTACTTATAATGTATGTTTTTCTCAGTCTCTTTCTTTTCCTGGAAGTCTCTCTTCTACTCAACTGACGGTGTCTCTCCCTCTTTTTATCTCCCCCCCTCTCTCTCTTCCCTGACGGTCTCTTTCATTTCTCCTCCTTTGACAGTCTCTATCTCCCTCCCTCTCTTCACCACTTTTAACGGTCTTTCTCTCTCTTCACCTCCCCTGACGCTCTCTATCTCTCTTTTTCTCCTGGCGGTTTCTCCCCTGGCCACCTCTTTCATCTTCCCCTGACAATTTCTTTTTTCTCCGTCATGAAGGTATCTCTCTGTCTCTTCTCCCATCCTGACCATCTCCCGCTCTCTTCTGCCCTCTTGGCTGTCTTCCTCTCTCTTATCATCTCCTGGATGTATATATCTCTTTCTCTTCTCCCATCATTGATGTCTCTCTTACTCCTTTCTCCTCTCCTGGCAGTCTCTCTTACTCTTTTCTCCTCTCCTGGCTGTCTTTCTTTTCTCCCCTCCTAACTTTCTCTCTTCCTGACCCTCTTTCTCTCTTCCTGACCCTCTTTCTCTCTTCCTGACCCTCTCCCTCTCTTTTCCCCTCCTGACCCTCTCCCTCTCTTCTCCCATCCTGACCGTCTCTTTCTCTTCTCCCCTCCTGATAGTTTCTCTTTCTTCTGCACTCCTGACAAGCTCTCACTCTTCCTCCCCACCATCTCTCTCTCTCTATTAGTGTTTCTTGTCTCAATCTCTCTAATTGTCTTTCTCCCCACCCATTTTGCTATCGATTTTCTTTCTACTCATATCGTCATGCTTCTTATTTTCTCTATAGTGTTCTCTCTTTCTCTCACACGATATATATATATATATATATAATGTATATATATATATATATATATATATATATATATATATATATATATATATATATATATATAATGTATGTTTGCGTGTCATGCTTGGAAAACGAGAATTCAGGAAGGGACTCTATGTCTACTGCAAGTTCCTCATTGATGTGTATGGATCACTAGTGATAGGATTTTTTTCCGTAGTTGGTAAAGAAAGTAATTGGTGAATGGAAGTGGTGTCATGTTTATTATACATCAGCCTGAGACAGAGGAACGCCGTCGCCTGGAAGATATTGGCGTGTCGAAAAGGCTTATCAGCAACTTTGGTACACATTCCTGCATTTTGTTTAGTGACGCACCTATTCAACGACTACCAGAGGTAATCCTTAGGGGTAGATGGTCTATATATCATCGATGCATAGACAGGTCATCGCTGTTCTGGTGTCATTATTGTAATATATACGCGGAGAAGAACTTGTCGTTCTTGAGGACGTCTACGTTTGTGATAAATTCGATACTGTATATTTTGAGAACGTTCTGTAAGCTGCGCTTGTCGAATTCGTCTCGGAGAATATTTTGCGCTATCGAGGAGAGTTTATTTTCTTGGATTCTGTTGGTTTGCGTTTGCTAGTTTAAGATCTTTGTCCAGTTTTGTAGATCTGACACATCCTGTTTAGGTAAATTCCTGACCCCCGTTCAGATTTCTTGTCCCGATAGTTACTGAAGGTAGATGTTGTTGGCGGATGATAAGATTCTGTACACTGAAGAGTTTAAAGAATGGTGCTATTTTGAAGGTCTGACTTTCAGTTGGCGATTAGAGCACCGTTATCCGAGAACAGAATTCAATTACTCGCTACAATATTGTCTTTGGGCTATGGGGTGTTTTATATTAAAAGTCCGCCATTTATACGTGTGCTGATGTATACGACTTCGTCGCCATTCATCTCTTTATAAGCCTCTTTCATCATCGTACTAAAAATACAATAGAATTTTCTTTATATGTCACGCAGCCTGATCTCACCCACTTATATATATATATATATATATATAATATTAAACATTTCCCCCCAAGCAAGGCGGGAGTGCCACTAGCACGTAAGAGCTTACAGAAAGTGGTTGCAAGAGTAAAGAGGCGTGAAAGAGGAAAGGATAAAGAGAAGGACTGGGAATAGATCAAGGCATCTGGAGATGTCGATTGGTATTGCATTAGAATATTTGGAGATTATAGCTATCAGAGAAGCCACGGAGTTTCACAGATGGGAAGTGCGGGACATGAAGCTATTGGATTAGAAGAGACGGCTACATTTAATCGTTTCGACAATAAAAGGATGGGACTGAGATGCCGACCTAGCGGCACGTTTAAATTCTTGCAGTTTGGTAAGTAGCGAAAGTAGCTTGTCGGAGCAGTTGCCGTGAAAGTACTTGTAGAAAAGACGGAGGGAGGCGACAACACGTCTGTGAGAGAGCGACTGTAAACGATTTGCCAGATTAGGGCCAATCACATTGCATATCTATCTCTGGATTTTGTCGAGGACTCTAAGACGAACAGCGGGAATCCAGACCATTTATGACAAAGTAATACTCGATGCTAATAAATCAACATGTCTCATGTTATATAACATCTCAAAATCACATAAGTAAGTAGTGAGAGCAGGTGCGTAATACATTCTTTTTAGTTCTTTGTTT